ACAGGTAGTCAACCTTGTTTCTTGGGCGCCTTTCCCTGTCAAAGCATTGCACCTCCCCTGCAAGTCTTCAGCCTCATTTTGCGATCAGGTTTCCTTTACGGCCGATCCCCGCCCCCTTAAAAATCGCCTTTCTGATGAAAAGAACGGCGCCTTTAATTCCGCGATGTTAAGTCATAAAGGACCCGAAGAAAAACACACACGCGCCTGCTGGTTTTGTTTTCTGCAGCCTCAAAACTGTCCCCCGCTCAGGAGCCTTGCCCACCCCTCTCTCCCGCCCCCTTCTCTCTGGAGAGAGGAGCGCCGAGGGGTGTTAATGTGGTCGATTGGGGAGACAAGCGTTTGGAAATGTTTCCTGCTTCGCACAGAAGGAAGGGAGATTTGCAAACTGTTGCTGCCACATGGCTCCATTCTCATTGTAATGAGGCCGGCGCGTGCCTCATCTGCTCCAGGGGAGCTGCCACGAGCCAGCCAAGCACGCCACGTGCCAACTGGGACAACGAAGCCCGCGCCAGCTCAGCCCGGCAGCCTCCAGACACCCGGAGCAGCAGCAGCAGCAAGGCCCGGCAGGAGCGCACAAAGGACACCTGCTGCAGCCCCGGCCGGCAGCTGCAAGCGGGCCCGGCAGGCGCGCTCTCTCTCACACCCACCCACCCGCATACACACGCACGGCACAGGCCTGCCTTGGAACTCGCGAGAGGAGCCCGCTCGCCTGCAGGCAGCAAGGGCCGCGCCGCCGAGCCCGGGCTGGCGCGCCTCAAGGGTCGCCTCGGCCGCTGCTTCGCGCGCTGGAGCCCGGGCGGAGATCGGGATCGGGCAGCTCGGCACGCCAGGGCGAAGGAGGGGCTGGAGGTGGGCGCAGGCGTAGCCTCCTAAGAAGAGGGCGCAGCCCCCAAAGCGGGCGCCCCAGACCTCGCCTTTTCTCGCGGCTCTTGTGGTCTGGGTTGTCCTACTTGGGCACGCACGCGCGGCCGTTGTAGAAAGACAAGGGTTGGGTGGTCCATGTGGTAAGCCAGGCATACAGGGCAGGGTGCCGGTAAGTCGGTTTGGCCGGTAAGTCGGTCCAAGGAGGTTGGGCGATATTTTTTGCCCAGAGCACATGAATTCCTGGTTTGGCGGGCAGTTGTGCAATTCTGTGTATAAAGCGAATGCCCGTTCTTTCCAGGGGTTCTTTAAAAATAAACCTGCCAGCAGCGTGTGTGTGTGTGTGTGTGTGTGTGTGTGTGTGTACTGGAAATCGTTTCCAGCCAATTGCATATCATCACTGTCACTAGTCCGCATGGAATTAACCCCACCACATGGAGAGCAGAGGTGGTGAAACTTGAACCCGCTGCATCCCAAGCTTCAAATCAACTCTTTATAGGGCAGAACTCAATCCCCAACGAATTTCCTACCAGGTAAATCTTATTGGCCTTAAGGAAACTTTGAAACCACCTGTTTAGCAAGTGGAGCTCTTGTACTCGTTGCACGTTGCGTCTCCGTGTGCTACGCGCTGCACACACAAAAAATGGAAATGGCACAGCGCATGCCCAGAGAATTTGCCACCTACGCGGCACTGCCATTAACCCCACTCCCAAACAGAACTCAGAGCGCCAAATGGCAATAAGTGAACCAGCTAGCGATGTCTTGCTGGTGGGGGCGAGTGCTTGAGCTGGGTTCAATTACAACCCGGGTACGTCCATCTCCTTTTGTTATTCAGAGTTTAACTCATAAAACGAGGCCTTTTGGAAATGGTATAACGATTACGATTGACTCCTGGGTTCCAAATCGATGGCTTCTTTTCCATGCAAATGCATGTTTGTTTCTTGAAGTTCTCCATCTGTTTGGTAGCGAACACCTGCCATTCAGTAAATCGATTTTCCAATTTAATGTAACAGCTTCGCAGGACATCACCCCCCTCCCTCCCTCCTTTCTTTCCTTCCTTCGGGGCCAGATGCCACAGCAGCGCCAGCTCTTCTCTCCAAGCTAGCTCGGGGCCCACCTACCAGTCGCCTCCCCGCAAGCAGAACCAGGAGGCGCTTCAGTCTGCCCGTTTGCACCCAGCAGAGCACGGGAGAAAAATGGTTACCCGCAGACGTAGCTGACCTCGACTCCTTTCTTTCTAGATTCTGACGGCTGCTCTTCTTCTGAGCATTTCCCAGGGTTCTTTAGATCCCGACCCAATTTTTTGGGTAAAATTATTCCTCAAGTGTATTTTAATTAATAAACTAATCACTTTGTTTTTTTAAGAGAGATGCCAGGATGCATCACAGGGAAGGAAAAGGCACCTTGTACATGCACAAAAATTACTTTTGTAAAAAAACAAAAACAAAAATAGGGCGGGACACTTGGTATGTTTCAGGAAAATAAAAAATATTCCAGGGCTGAATATTTAATATCTAAAAGCCTCATCTGCATTTGAAGCTTAACAAACTACAGTTCCCAGAATTCTTGGAGGAGCCATGACAGTTTAAAGTAGTAGGATACTGTTTTAAATGTACAGTGCAAATGAGGCCTTAACTCGAACCCGAATTACCTTTCCTTTGGTGAGCTAAAAGGGGTGTGTGTGTCACGGTGCATGGCGAACATTATCCCTTTGCAGAGCAATGTGTGCATTCACGAAAGCGTCTTTCCTGGAACTTGTTTTTAAGCGCCGAGAAACAGGACCATCACTTGCGAAGGTGATCAGGGCAATAACATTCTGATACATGGGATGCTCACAGGCAACTGAGGTGAGGCATGAAAGACTAAGGGTAATGGGGTGGCCGGGGAGGAAAACCAACAGCTACTAGAGAGCAGTTTACTGGGCGTGCAGGCCCAGGGATGACATCGTCTGGATATTCCGGTTGGATTCCCATCTGCAAAATGAGTAGCAAACCACCTCTTCTTTATTACTGCACAGTGTTGTCGTAAGGGCAAACGCATTCAAGATAGTAAAAACTATTTCATAGGAACGGTAAATGAACAAGCTGCAGTAAAATGTAAATCAATTGCAGTCCCCCTTTTTATAATCTCAGCACTACTAATGCCCCTAAAACCTGAAGACTGGAAGTTCCGTGATACAGAGAAACTTGCAGATCGATCCTCCCCATTGAGTTCCAAGTTTCTTCTTTCTAAGCGTGCACAGGATTGTAGCCTAGTTTTGGGCTTATCTGATCGAGAAGGATTTTCGAAGGTAAATGCCTACCTAACTGCTGCATACACCGTTTCTGAAGTCTAATGGTTGTTAGCACTACCCTAATCATTCCCATTTTACACATGGGGGAAAGTGAGACGGAGAGAGCAGGCTTGACTAAGACTCCCCAGTAGAGATACGAATTGTATCGCAGATCGAAATCCAGTCCTCTCTGCACTGAAGAGTCCACTGCAGTCCGAAGCATATTGACTTGGAGGCAAACCCTATTGAAATCAATGAGACTCCCTTTCCGCTGAATTACGCCGAGAACCGAGCTGAAAATCCCACGGATGTCAAAGGGATTTCGTCGGATATGTTTGGAACCGCAGCCATCGAGACAAGGAGGCAATGGAGACTCCTGTGGTTTATCCTTTGAAAGTTGCTTGAAAGTTCTGATCTGGATCGGGGTGAAAAGATGCGCAGGCGACGCTTGTTGGCGCACAGGGAAAGTAATGGAGAACTGTGTGCTTGAAACTCTGACGGGCAGCCCTATGGAGATGCGGGACGGGGAACTAGCAGCCATCCCTGTGTTGATGGACTCCAATTCCCGTCAGCCCCAGCTGGCATGACCCAAGAGCCAGGGATGATGGGAGTTGTAGTCAAACAACATCTCCGGATTGCACCAACCCTGTAAGACTGGATTCTGACCTCATCCCGCGCGAAATGCACACTTGTTGACTTATTCTTTATTGAATTTATATCCCGCCCTTCCTCCCCAAGGAGCCCAGACCTAACCATTCGCCATCGGGAAGGAAACTGCTTGGGCACCAGCACTCCTTGTTCTTTTTGCACCCCGACCTCTGGACTAGATCAAAGGCAGACATCCGGCTTGGAGGATTGTGGTACAGGCCTGGCCCTCGCTTTCTCCCGGATGTGGTGCAGCCTCCTCCAGACCTGGCTGTAGAAAGGCCGGCCTATCTTCCGAAGGGGCTCCTGCTAGACGCAGGCAGGGCCTTGTGCGCGTCACGTTCCCCGCTGCAGAGAAGCAACACGGCCGCCTTTCTTGGCGTCGGGTTATCTCCCCGCCAAGCCCTCCCGCTTATCTGCTATCATCCCTCGTGAAACCTGCCGCTCTTGCTCCTGCCTCTCTCTCAGGAGCGCAGCGCTTTATCTGACAGTTAGCAAAAGAGGAGGCGAGGCGTTGGAAGATCACCAGGAAAGGAGAGGCTGCTGCTGCTGGGCTCTCGCCTAACGCAGCCCTACCCCCAGCGCCGGTTCCTGCTCCCGCAGCACCGGGAGTCGAGCCAGGCGACAAGATGACCCCCTCCGACGGCTCCTGGCTGGTCCTGCCAAGAACGAACCCCGAGCCAAAACGCCCGTGGATGAGCCGACTTTGTTTTCTCGACCCTTTCGGATTCTTGGGGCTGATTGGCTGCAGGACTTTTTAAAAAAAAGCCCTTCGGTCATTCTGATTGACTTTCTCATTGTCCGCGCGGGACCTGTGTCCCCGTGTCAGTCACCGAATCAATGAATTGTAGAGTGGGAAGGGACCACCAGGGTCATATAGTCCAACCCCCCTGCAAAGGTGGAATCTTTTGCCCAAAGTGGGGCTCGAACCCATGACTCTTTAGGTTAAGCCTTAAACGGCCTTGGCCCAGTATACCTGAAGGAACATCTCCACCCTCATCATTAAGCCCGGACACTGAGGTCCAGCGCCGAGGGCCTTCTTGGTTGTGGCGCTTGCCCTGTGGAACCCCCTCCCATCAGATGTCAAGGAAATAAAGAACTACCTGACTTTTAGAAGGCATCTGAAGGCAGCCTTGTTGAGGGAAGTTGTTAATGACTGATGTTTTAATGTATTTTTAATATTTTGTTGGAAGCTGCCTAGAGTGGCTGAGGAAACCCAGCCAGATGGGCTGGGTATAAATAATCATCATCATCATCATCATCATCATCATTATTAATAATAATTCTCATGGTGTACTGCCTGAGTTTGCCAGCTTTCTGTGGCCACTGCACCTGATTGTTCTGGCTAGGGCTGACAGGAGTTATAGTCCAAAACCTCTGGAGAGTACCAGGGTTGATGGCTTCTGCACTGTTTGCCTGCAACATCTGGTAACCAGAGAGGTATGCAGCCTCTGAACATGAACATTTCATTTCTAGCTATTTGTTGTGTGAAGAGGTAGCTCCTACTGTTCGTCTGGGAACCTGCTGCCTTTTGATGACTGACTAATATTTCTCAACAGCACCGTCACATTGCTGGGTGTGGCAATGCATGCTTTTTATTGCACCCCATTTTATGGCTAGCCATCACCACCCACGGCAATCACGGAGGCAGCAGCTGCAGGGCCACCAAGACTTATTTAATGCTGAAATTTAGAGGGCAGATTTATGGTTGACACAAGCAGGTGCAGCTGTGCCAAAGTCAATGAAGTAACTTTTGCTGATGCAGTTAGGATCTCAGGTGGGTCTGGCATTTGCCTGTGCAGTTGCTTCCAATGATCTTTGTGTATTTCTTTGTGGCTGTGCTGGTTGAAACCCTTGGAAATACTGCTGGATAGAACCTTGGCCTGGAGAAAAACTGGCTTGACCTTCTGGGCTGGTCATTGTCACCAGCTCTGCTCCTGGATCTGATGTGGGGGGCGAGGTGGAAGGTGCTTCTGCGAAAAACTGTTCATTTTCAAGGGCAAGAGAGCCAGAACCTAAATAAATGTGTTATAAGAGCTGTAACTTCAAGTGCTTGGACTTGAGCTTGCTTTCCCCTCCTCACTTCCATTCCTTTCCCCTCACACGTCATGTCTTTTTAGATTGTGAGCCTGCAGACATGGATCACGCCAGTACCATTGCTTGTAAGCCCTTGTGGCATTTGCCTCCTAGGATGGGTCATAATGAAAGGGTTAAAATAGGTGTGATGTGATTGGCCAGTGAGAATGCAAGGGGAAAATAAACTTGGGTTGAGGTTTGGGAGTTGAGAGAGTTGAGGTTTGGGAGTTGAGGTTGAGGTTTGGGAGTTGAAGAAGGAAGAGGGAGGTTTAGGTGTGGGTTGGTAGAGTTGTATTGTGAGAGAGTGAGAGGAATTGTTAGGTGGAGTCAGATAGATAGTTGGAATAACCAGTTTGGAGTTGTTAGGAACTAAGAAAGAAACTGACAAGAGAAAAATTAACTGAAACCATAAGCTTGTCCCTGCATTTAAAAATAAACTTGATTATTTGTTTATGTTAATAACTGACTGGACTCCGTGTGTCCCCGTGAGATACGGGGTGGTGGCAGCGGAAAAAGCAATCACAGTGGTGGCACAGGGTCAATAGACCGTCAAACGTCCAGGGGCCCTGTGTGTGATCGCCACAGCCCTTTTGGCTAGATAAATGCCATAAATGCACCAATAATATATATACATAAAAAGAAGGGTGAGAGAAAGGGAGAGGGGGAATTATTATTGTTCCATACATTTATATAGCATTGACTCTACACAGTTGCAGAATGCTCTCCCCAGGACGGTTTTTGCCAGGCAAAAACGTTCTCCCCAGGATGGTTTTTGCCAGGCAAAAACGTTCCTTTCAGGGTGCCAACTTGAATTCAAGGGGCCCAGGTAAGCCTCACACTGCATAATCAATCACAAATATTTGGGGAGGACTGATGGGACCTTGGCCCCTAGGAGTTGGCTCCTATGGTTCCTCTTCAACCAGGCCTTTGATTGATTGACACCCGATGTCCTTTTAAATGTGTTGTGGCAGGGGAGATTATTGGTTTGTTTCTGTTCTTATTTTTATTATGTTTTTTATGTTGTAATTTTATGTTGTGAACCGCCCTGAGCTCTTAGGATGAAGGGCAGCAATACTACTACAGTACTACTACTAGTTGATGGGATGGTTTATTTATTTATAAACAATGACCTGTTCTATTTTACTGATACAATATTATTACTTTAGTTGTCATTGCTATTGTGATCATTCATGCAGTTCATCATGTACCAGGGGATTTGTATATATACCCATATATCCATGCCATCAATGTAGGAGGACAGCATTCAGTTGGGAGAGAGCAGGAAAATCTTTGCATGAAAAGCTTCCCTCGTGGAGCAGCCTCCATTTGGTTGTATACAGTGGTACCTCGGGTTACATACACTTCAGGTTACATACGCTTCAGATTACAGACTCCGCTAACCCAGAAATAGTACCTCGGGTTAAGAACTTTGCTTCAGGATGAGAACAGAAATTGTGGGGCGGCGGGCAGCAGCAGCAGGAGGCCCCATTAGCTAAAGTGGTGCTTCAGGTTAAGAACAGTTTCAGGTTAAGAATGGACCCCCGGAAGGAATTAAGTACTTGACCCGAGGTACCACTGTATAAGTAACCCCGCAGGCTGTTGCGTTGGTGGGTGTATTAGGATGTAATTGTTCACATGACTGGGCATAACACAGGTTTGAGGTAAGCCATGGTCACCTGAGCATAACTCACTGGAACATGTAAAGTATTAAGAAAGAAATGTCTCTTTCAGTATGCACACACTGCTATTCTCTCCGTTGCTTCTAGACATTTTTCTTTTTCAGAAATCAACTGCTGGACAAAACCCAGGCACTAGCATGGTCAAATTTTACACTCGTAGTACTTCCTGGTTCAGATGAACCAATGGCAGTAGTGGAAACACACTCAACGGGTGCTTTTTATTTTTTTAAGGACAAAGTCATTTGGAAGTAGGACAAACAATTGAAATGTCACTCAGCATTGGAGGAGGCCATTGCTTTGCTATTGTCTGTTAATCTTGAGTGTGGAGAAGAATGGTGAGGACTGCTCCATTCCGGTTTACTGGAGTTTTCCTACTTCGAGAGTTTTTATGATAGAATTGGGAAGCCTGAGAGGATAGCTCAAGGACTGGCAAAAAGTGAATAGCAATTTATTAGATACCGCAAACTCCAATGGTTAGCTTGCCATCTGTCTGCAATGCCTGACACTGGATTACTATTTATTATTCATCCTCAATCATTAATTATAAATCATGGAGCCTATATGCCACTCTATACATTCACATTTGCTATGCATTCACAAACACATTATGTAACGTTTTAAAACCATGGATTTTCCTAGTATCTCAAGGATAGGTGCGTTGGACCTCTCTAATGTCACAAAGGTGTAAATTAGCTTTGTCCAATCTGCTAAGATAACTGGAGAGTGAAGAGTTGCAATAGAAAACACTGCAATTGGGAGCCACCTTGAGCCCCATAGTAAATCCAACAGTTTCCCTCCAGTGTACCAACCTGGTTACCAGCTGCTGATTTTACTTACCTATTGCCATGGACTTACTGCCTGATTTTGGAAAATGAATTGTTCTTATAAGTTTGTTTGTTTAACGTAATGTGCTTGATATCCTGCTCAACAATAAAACCTAGTAAGAAAATAACAAAACAGCAGAATGGGTTGTGTTTCAGTGTTAAAACAGCATCGAAACCAACTTTGTTGCACAAATGGGGGGGAAAGCATTTATCTGAAGCTGAAGAGAAAACTTTGCAGCAAGGGAGAGAGCTACAGACATGGGCTGCCACAATTGAGTTATGGGCTCATATACATTAGGGTTGGGCAGATCAGGATATACTAATATATATCTAAGTAATTTGCAGTAGATCAACAAGGTTTTCTGTCTACCAAATGTTTTAAAGTAGTGATAAAGTAGTGATTTTTTGCATGGAAGGACTATGAGGTCTCATGAGATCCACTCAGATGCATCCTGTTCCTTAATTCGAAGTACAAGTCTGCACCTCTTTCTAAAGCACCCTTTTGCAGTTGGTTTCTGTTGGTGGACCTGGGGACTCTAAGGGAGGGGGGCGACAAAGATGATTCTACAGTATTGAAGTCCCCCTGATCTAACAGATTTGAAACCAGTGGAAATATCATAGCTTCCTCCAAAGAATTATAGCTGTGTGAGGGTGATCAGGCCCCATTTCATTTTGGTCATATAGGAATTGTATTTCTATCCTGCCATTCCTCCAAGAAGCTCAGAACACCTTCCTACCACCCTAGTTCCCAGACTTCCTTGTCTAGGAGCCATGGCAAACATGCAGTTGTGAACCAGGATTAAATGCATAGCTCTGGATTGCTCCCCTATTGGCAATTGACATGATGATATCAATATATCCTCTTATTTGTGGAATGAATTATCACACCTATCCATTGCAACATTAATGATCTTTAAACACATGACCTGGAGTTCTTATGGCTGCATCTCTCTGCTTCCTCTGGGCCATTTTTCATACCACCCAATTACAAGCCTTTGTGTAAGTAAACAAGGATCTGGTTTCCTCCTGGTAGTTCTAGAGCTAAATATTGCCTCTGCTCTGCAGGAAGAAGATGGTCAGTTGTGGGTGCTTTGCTCTAGCATGGTGCAGGGAGTATAAATATAGCTGCATCTTCCCGACACTGGGTGACAGGAAGATGCAGAGATATTTAAAAATACCTGCTTTGACACTAGCCTAGTTTTGTGCTCAGCAAGAAGCAGAAAGTTGGCCTACATCCCGTTTGCAATCACATTCTGCCATCACCTCCCTCTCCCTTCCCCCAAATTAACAAATTGTAGGACATTTTCCAGAGTCAAAGGCAGGAAGTGAAGTGTATAAATAAAATAAAGTCACTAACCGAAAGGTGCTACTGTAGCTCCCATCTTATTCTGCTTTTGCCTTTATTTACTTTTTGCTCAGATTTTTTCTCAACAGATTTTTTCCTATTACTTTCCTGGATCTTACCCAGTGGCCGCTGTTATCTTCCCAACTTCTCTTATATGTTTTACTAACCTCTTTCAAATGTTACTTTCACCTTCTTTTCCTGAATTGCTGCTTCCTTCCGATGCTTCACTTTTCCCTTCTGCTCATCTTCGTGATGCGTTCCCCCTCTTGTGCAGCGTGTTTCCATTGAATGGGATTCTGTTACGGCAGAGCTTGCACAAGTATAAGAAAAAGATGCACATCTTGGTTTTTTCTCAACCCCCCCCCCCATACTAGGAAGAATTTCTTGTGGCTGTGAAAACGGAGATTATGGTACTTTCTCCTAGGCCTTTATTTAATAATGATAAATAATAATAATAAATCTTTATTTATACCCTGCCCTTCCTGATTCAGAAAACCGGGCTCAGGGCGGCTAACAGCAAATTTAAAACACTTAATTATGATACAACAAAAAACAGCATAAAATATAGTATAAAAGCATGAATAACAATAAATTCAAGGCTCAAAAATCAATTTGGGGGAAAATCCATCCAATAAACATTAGATGGTCACCAGGGCTAGCTGGCTAAATTAGTCCTATTTCGGGCCAGCAAGGAGGCCAGGGGAGAGGAGAATTAGCTGTGGGGTCCCAGAGCAGGTAATCTTCATAAAAAGGGGAGGGAAGAGAAGGGAATAAAATATCAGGCTAAATTCAGATTGAAAGCCAGGTGGAATAGCTCTGTCTTACAGGCCCTGCGGAAAGAGGTTAAATCATGCAGAGCCCTAGTCTCATGGGACAGAGCATTCCACCAGGTTGGAGGCATCACTGAAAAGGCCCTGGCCCTGGTGGAGGATAGTCTGACTTCCTTAGGGCTCGGGACCTCTAAACTATGGTTATTCATGGACCTTAAGGTCCTCTGCGGGGCATACCAGGAGAGGCGGTCCCATAAATACGAGGGCCCTAAGCCACAAAGGGCTTTAAAGGTCCTTTGAAGCTTAACACTTTAGCTTAACACCTAAGGATGGTTCCTTAAAGGATATTGATGGTTAGAATATGTTTGCTTAAATGACCACCAATAGCTTTCGATGCTTGGTGGCTGCTAGCTATTAGTCACTCTACCAGCTTGAAGCTCACTGGGCGACCTGAGGCTAATCACTGTCTCTCTCAGCCTGACCTACCTCATAGGATTGTCATGGGATTAAATGAGAAGGGGGAGAACTATGTACACTGTCTTGAACTTTTTGGAGAAAAAAGTGGGATATAAATATATATATATATAAATATATATATTTTTAAAAGAAGTTCTATGGTGCATGCTCTTAAATGTCATATAAAAATGTGTGATGCGTGTATTTTGTGTTACGTGTTTTTGCAATGTTGTCATCAGTAGTAAAGAAGAGTAGTATTTTCCTGCCGGAAAAGCATGGGACACACACACACACACACACACACACACACACACACACACGTGTCTGTTTTGTTGCTTATACCAGTGATGGGAAACTGACTGGCCACAGGTTCCCACTACTTCTATTTGCCAAAAAATGACAGGTGTGGTAATATTGTCAAGTGTGAAGGTATACGCATTGTGCACATAGTTCTTTCCTCCATGGAGTTGACATCCAAGGTGGAAAACCATAGGTTGTTGAGGCTCTGGCTATTCAGAAAGATTACTCACAAGCAGTGCTTTTTTTCTAGAAAAAGAGGTGCTGGAGCTCCCACGCGCTGCCCCACAGCCTCCAACACAAAGCCACGAGCAGCATGCCGCCCGAAGTCTCCAACACGCAGCTCTGGGCGCCGTGCCGGTATACTGCACAGCTGCCGGTATGCTAAAAAGAGGTGCCGGAACGCACTGAAGAGATGGCGTAACTCAGTTCTGGTGCGTTCCAGCTGAAAAAAAGCCCTGTTTGCAAAGGTAAAGCTCGGCACATACTTAAGAATGGCAAAACGGAGAGCTCTTAAGAATGCAACTGTGTCATTTCAAGGTTACTCGTTAAATAGACTTCCTCTTTAGCTGCTTACAGATGTGGGAAGTGCTGGAATTTTAGTCTACGTGAAATATGGGATATTTGGCAGCAATAAATGTCTCTCTTTTTGCACGACAAATAACAAGTGAGGGAAAACAAGGGGTGTGAATTAGATGGTGCTCAGTCTCTTTCACCTTTGAGCTAAAGGAAAGTGTAAGGGTATTTCCTGAGAAGGAAGAATACCGTGCTTAAAAATGTCCTTCCTTAAAAGAAAAGAAAAATAGTAGATTCAAAACTCCCTAAAAGTTGCAGATTTCCAGCTTTGAAAAGGTTTGTTACTGGCAAAAGGGACATGCAGATTACAGCCTTTGGAGCATGTATGTTGGTTGACACAAGGATGCAGTGGGCATATTTGCACAGTGCAAACTTCAAATGGAACTGCATGCTTTGCCAATGAACATGTGCTACAGCTGTGTGCTTGCTGAATAAGGTGGAGGGGCATTTGCAAGGGAGAATCGTCTTTTTCCCCTGGGTGACTTCTGAGAGCAGAGATGAGCCCAGCTGGTATAAAAATGTTCTGGGGAGGTCAGTAGGCAAAAGCATTGGTTGGGGGTTCAAATCACTGTTTCTCCCATGCAAATGTTCCTGGGCCTCCATGTTCGTGATATTTGGCAAACAAAGGGTTGGGAGCTTGTGGAATGAGTTCTGCCCAATCTAATGGTCATGGTGAACTTACAGGCGTGGAGTTATTTTCGAGATATGCAAATTCAGCAATGTTTTGTTTGTTTGTTTGTTTAATTCAACAGAATTTATATACTGCTTGATTGCAAGAAAACCTCCAAGTGGTTTTCAGAAATATATAATAAAACATTAGAATTCTCGGTTAAAAAAACAGGAACAAATATTGAAAAACATTATTAAAATCAATGGTGGCTAAAAAGAGAGAAAACACATGCAATTTTTTCATGTTTGACTAGACTTGCCGAAACCATGATATTTTAAGCAGGTGTGGAGGGTTCTAGGTCATTGAACCTGTGGTAAAGGTTGTGAACGCCTCCAGAGGACCTGTTTATTTTTAAATAGTTTTTTTATGGAAGATTTTCTGATTTGTTAGCATTCCTTCTGATTTGTTGATGACAGTGAGCATACATCCTGCATTCATCCTGATTTGCTTGCAAGTGTGTTCATTTCATTGGTCATTAGTTTATTCCACACTTTTCAATTCGTTCGCCTGTCATTTTCCAACCCGTAACTGTCCGATTCTTTTTTTAAAGGGGATTTGTTGTGTGAGGGCGACAGGCCCTTTAATCCACTTTAGCAGCACGGACGTAAGATTTCAGTATGCTCTCGAATCCCTCCTGCAAAATAGTGACAGTCTGGAGGCATCCTGTGACACAAACCTTCGTGACATCCAGGGACACATGCCTCACCTTTTTACAGGTTTTTGTAGCCTCCACATTCTGATGGATGTGGCACAAGAACAAACGGTGCCTTGTGAAAAGCAGCACTCCTATAAACCGCTCAAAAACACAGTGGGCATAACCCAGTGGCAGGAAATTCCCATAATTAGAGGAGCTGCTGATCTCACTTTCTGTGGAAAGGGGCAACTCAGTGACCAATTGCATCATGTCAATGTATACGTTGCCCAAACCAAACCAAACAGGGTATAAATTAGTCGGCGCTCATTTGTTTCATGAAGAGCATTGTTCTTCTTTTATTCAATGACCTTTTTGTTCTTTTACATCCTGGACCAATCAAATGTCATGGTTGTAGCTGAGCCCTGAGTGCAGACAATAGCTTATTCCGTCTATTCTGTTTGAGGGGCTGCAGGAATGGCCGGCCACTTTGTCATGTGGTGACTGGAGGCTGTTTAAAGCAGCTTTTCCCACCATTTAGAAAGTAGCCGAATCCTGAGAGGAAAACCCTGTCATAATAATAATCTAGATCCCATTGAAGTTTTTTTCAGCTTTATGATTTGGGTGGGGTTGGAATGCAGAGCACTCGCTGGCTTTTTCGCTGCTGAAGCAGAGAACTAGAGAGTCAGTTCTGGGGCCTTCATTTGCAGACTGTGAAAAACCTAAGTGCATCTTTTTGTAAGGTTTGTAGAACTAGGAGCTTTGCTGTGCTTGCTGTATGTCAATAAAACCTCCCTGATTATGATATGGGAGTTGCAGGGAGCCAGAATGGATTATAGGAGAGATGTGTGGCTGGGTTTGTGAGGCGTAGCAACGAAATTGGTTGCTTTGGGTATAATTGTAATTCTTCTGTTTGCAATAATACAAACAGTGCAATATACCCGGACTGGCAAATTTGGTTGTTGATTAAACTGTCTCTTGTCCTAGGATGTCAGGGGTGGACATGGGGAATGAAAGCTTACGGTGGGATGGGGACATTGGTACCAGCCTTCAGACAATTACGTTTCTTTACTTTGTTAAAGAACAGAGACGTAGCCAGAAGCTGGTTATTGAAATGTGTTTGTTTATTGTGATGCACAACTATTAAGTAGTCACACACATAGGACCTGCAACAAAATGTTGCAACAGGGACTTCTGGGCATTTCTCCTGAGTTTCCATTCCCCTCCCCCCCTTTAAATGGGCATAAATGATTCCCCCCCCATATCGAAACTCACATTTCGGAATCTATTTCTGCACTGATGCCTGACTCCCACACTAGTCTCAAACCACCCATAGTGCTTGTGGATGCTTCAGCCAGGATTTTGCATATGTCAGAAAATTCATCCTTTAGATTTGGGGCCAGACTGCAGAACCAAATTTTAGAACCAAGTCAGGGGCCTTGTCACAAATATATAAACACCCACATCCACTCAAAAAACATATGCATAATTTCACATATACATGCACATGGAAATACAATACTGTACGCTTGGTGGTTAGCTGGTATGGAGAGATGCATAAATACATAAACAAGAGATTTGCAGACATAGAATCATAAAACTGTAGAGTTGGAAGGGACCCTGAGGATCATCTAGTCCAACACCCTCCAATTCAGGAATATGCAGTTGTCCTATACAGGGATCAAACCTGCAACCTTGGCTTTATCAGCACCATGCTCTAGCCAGTTGATCTAATTGGTAAACATGCTGTGCATTTTTTTTTAAAAAAAACCTAGGCTTAAATATGGTTCTTATTCTTGCACAAGCTGGGTCTTTGGAAGCTGGCCGGCACCATTCACAACACGGGTTTTTATCTGACATCTCGTAGGACGGATGTCAGACTGTTTCCCTCCTTCTTGGCACTCCATCTTTTTCTCAGAGCCCAATCCCTTGTGTGACATCATCTGCTTTTCCTCCTCGGCCTTAGGCACAGTGTTTCTGGAGCTCGTTGCTTCCTGAACCAGAATTCCTAACTCAGGATAGCGATGTTGGGGAGGAGGAGGCGGCGGTGACGGAGGGAGAAACACGCGGAAACGTTAAATGAGAAAGGCAGCCGTGGAAAGTCCTTGCATAGCAACCAGCAGCACCAAGGTTATGGTAATTAATTTCAAATCTGTTGAGAAAAGGTCCCTTTCATGTTGGCCTGACGCTTTAAGTGGCTCAAGAAGTATGGAAAAACAGGAAACCAAGCAGCCTCATTAGGAATTGACTCTGCTCAGTAATTAGGAAAACAAGGAAAAGCAGGTGGTGAGGGAACTGAAGTCGACCACAGAGCTTGGGATGGAAATTCTTGTTAGGGGAGGAGGGGCAAAAACAGAAAGATTGCAAGACCCAGGACTGGGTGGTGGACTCATTACATGGTTAGCAATCAAATAGCTGCCTTTGGAGACTGATAGATGTTGCCAGTGTGGGATTTATTTAATAACAAGGCCGTCTTTCAAAAGGCATCTTTGTTCTGCAGAGTCCAGGTTCCCCTCAGTCCAAATCACGTTAAAACAAATTAGCGAGCAATGGTGGGTTTCGCCAGGACATCCAGAAGAGAGGACACTAGTCATTGATATCCATTACGTTGAATTAGCCGAAAACTGAATTGGGTTGCTAAAGGGAGGCTGGGTTGTATACCAGGGTGACCTGAGGCGAAGGAAAGGATGAAAAGGCAGTCGTTGGGTAGAAGAGGGTATCTTGGCAGGGGCAGTTCGCCAAGCGAGAGAAAAGCTGCGTTTGTTGAAGCCTTCACTCCCAGAGAGCTATATGAAAAGGACAAGATCTTCTGTACACCTTTAAAGCTCATCTTGTAATAATCCATATTCAGAGGAGGTATTAAAAAAGGGCTCCAGTTGGCATTTGTGTGGCTGTCAGAAATGTTTTTGCTTGTATTTTGTGAAATATGCATGGTTGCAGCTGCACCTTCTGGAGTTGACGTCTCCATGTGAATTTTCAGCTGAGTCTAGCCAGTTAAGGCAGAATGCTTGGATCTAAGCCTCTTTAATCTCTCGCTAATGAATGCCACACTGGTCAAAACATAAAAGCTGGTCCAAATTCAGGTGGTGCCCAAGGTCTGACATTTGGTTGTGCAAGGATTGCCAACGTTTCAGCCGGCCTCTGTAACTGTGCCCTTAACATGATCTGCAGCAACGAGCTAGCGATCTTGGTCATCTCCATGTTGGGAATTGCTTTCATGTCAAGTTGTAGTTCAAAGCACAGCTACAGAGGTCAGTCGAATCGCTGGCAACCTTAGGCCTTGCATCTGTGAGGGATTTTGAAACTAGGACACTGCCTTCCTGACATGCTGCTACTGTTCCTACCAATTGTTCCCATGGCAGGAAGAAGTTTCACCCAGTAAATTCCTGTGTGTCCTGGTGCTCGAAGGGCCATGATAGACTAATAAGCCAAAGCAAATGATATACTGACCTAAATAAACTATTGACCTGATATAATAATAATAATAATAATAATAATAATAATAATAATAATAATTCACATACCATTTTACAAAATAAACAAATCACAGCATAAATCATACTTAAATCATCAAATGCCTTCTCAGTAAAAGGGAAAAACAACAACAGCAACCCTTTAATGAGAAAAGTTATCTGTTCACGGATATCCCCCGGGTAGATAAATAGACGAAAACTGTTGTATATTTTTTTGCTGGGAATTCTTTTGCGCATCACCAGCAATAACAAATAACATCTGATCATAAAGCGTGACAATTTACATGCTGTGTATTGTCACGTATCCTCTCAGGATACAGTGGCTTTCAGTCAACAAATTTTGACTCATTGTGCTGGGGTGGGATGGCGAACATGCGGGACATGAAAGTATAATTTGGGATATTTCACAGACTGCTTTAGGTTGCAATAAACGGCTTCACATTTGTAACAATTTCACCTGATGATGTCAGTGGGATTGTGCTTGAGTGCATGGCAACCTTCATTCCTTGTGTTTATTTCAGGACCGGCTCCAGATTTTAGGCGGCCCTTGACAAAGTGGTGGGCTCCCTCCTACAGTGGTGGGTGTAGTGGTTAAGAGCAGTAGACTCGTAATCTGGTGAACCGGGTTCGTGTCCCCGCTCCTCCACATGCAGCTGCTGGGTGACCTTGGGCCAGTCACACTTCTCTGAAGTCTCTCAGCCCCACTCACCTCACAGAGTGTTTGTTGTGGGGGAGGAAGGGAAATGAGATTGTTAGCCACTTTGAGACTCCTTAGAGTAGTGATAAAGCTGGATATCAAATCCAAACTCCTCCTCCTCCTCTTCTTCTCTCTGGTGGGGTGACCTGGCAGTGGCAGCAGACAAAAAGAAGCACTCTGAGGAATGCCATGCAGCCCCCCCATGAGCTATAGCCAAGAACAAACTGGAATGCAAAGAGCATTGCATGAAGGTTTTGACCATGGTTAGCTGAGAAATGTCTGCTGTGCAATTCCTTACATTGAGAGATAAGAACCCTCCAGATCTCCAGATGTTGTTGGGCCTCTCACCAGCTCCATCTGGAATGGCTAATGGCCACATCCCCCAGTCTTCTTGTGCCAGGCCTCCTCTTCGACATTGCGAAAGCTCTCAGAGGGCCTTCCCCATAGGGTGGAATTCAGCTTTCCCCAAAGCTCTGACTGGATACTGCTGATTATGCTGTTGCCCCTCCTGAGGTTACTGATGGCGTAATGGGGTCCTCTTGAAACACAAAAAGTCTGGGGAAAGAGATCTGTAAAACATGTCGAAGTTACATGCAAAACACCCCGCTTCCCCTGTTTCCAAGCCCAGCCGCTTTGAAGCTTGTATATTTCTTCATGTTCCTGAAACCAGAAGCGACCTGGAAAAAACTGAAAGGATCCTTCTGTTGTGTTGTGTTTGTTGCTGTGCATGCCCCCCACATTTTAAAAAGTAAATCTACTACATGAAATATTGTTAGTCTCGCTCTCCCCCCCTTCTTCTTTCAATTTCAGGAAGTTGCTTAATGCCCTCTGCTTGATTTTGTTTTCCTTGTTATCAGGACAACTAATATTTTTTCCTGTTAGGGGAGAAAAAGATTTTCCCAAGCAGATTAAAGATTCCCACCCCCCCTTCAAGTGTATGAATGGTGACATGGTTCACTTTTATTGCTCTGTTTATTTTTAAGAATCGAGAAAGGGGGGGGGGAAATCCACCTTGATTTATCGTAACAAGATGTCCATCCCGGTGCGAGACGTGAGCTGAATTGAATGGTCTCTGCTTGTTTTTGACTCAGTTGCGGCTTCTTATCTGGTAGAATTCTATGGGTGAGTGGGGAGAAGGAGGAAGAGCAAGTGATAAATTTTTGCTACAGCATGTATTGATGGCTTCAGGGGGTAAAATGGGAACAATGTAGGTTGTGATGTGAAAATCTCCCTGTTAAGTTGTGATAATCAGACAATGGTCTCCTTGGAATAAAAGCTGAACTAAACGGTTACTCAAGGGCATAATGCATCTGAGTCTCAAATGTCTCTGTACTAGTGCCCTGGTTATACACATAATCAATTATAAATGAAAATAATTATGATCTTGTAGATTCAACAAAATGAATTGGAATCAGGCCACTCATGTCTTACCATGAAAAAAAGAAACATTGACTAGCATAGTAATAAAACCTTATTATTATTATTTATTATTATTTGTATACCACCCTATACCCACAGGTCTTAGGGCGGTTACAACATAAAATCACAATATAAACACAAAAAATCATAATAAAACAAAAACAACCCAATGAACCTTCCCGTCCCTAACACATTTTGAAAGGACATTGGGCGTTATCTAGTTCAACCTCCTAATACATGTCCAGAGTACCTGTCTTGTATCTGGAAGTATTTTTTAAAAACTGAACTTTGATGGGATATTATTGAGAATCAGAGTGATGCAGTTTAGTGTGTTGGACTAGGGCTGGGTGGGTGGTGAATCTAGAGATCAAGTTCTTACTTTTTGTTGTAAGCCACCCAGGAAATGTTTATTGATGGGCAAGAAGAGTCACAGCCCATTCCACCAGTGAAACGTTCACCCTAAACTGGAGGTCAAGCTTCTCTGTTCTCTCCTGCTGCTGTGGCCTTTCCCAGTCAAACACTTACCACTCTGTTTTATGCCTTTGAGGGAAACTCCACGTGGGCAAGTCCTCCTAAGATCCCTGTCTGCATTTAGTTCTCCCTATTGCATGTAAAGAAAAGTAATTAAGATGCAGGATCTTCCTTTCCCCCACTTCCTTCTAATTCTACACATTTGCACAACAGTCAACGTTTCCTTTTGCCACCTTGTTGCGTTGTAAGGATCCCAGAGAAAACGCCAGAGAGAAAGAAAAACACTGCAGCTTCTTTATCTCAGATGCTCACTCCAAACTGAAAACAAAACTCAATCACTTCAGCCTCGCCATCTACTTCCTCCACCCCCAGCTCCTTTTTGTGCCTTTAATTACAACCCCCAATATGCAGCTCACCTACTCTGACGCCACACACTGTTTAATCTGTGGATAAGGAAGGTGTTTTGTTTTGTTTTATCCAGAGGGCCGCATTCCCTACTGGGCAACCTTCCAGGGGCCACATACAAGTGGTGGGTGGGGGCAGGGGCAAAAGTGGGTGGAGCAACAGAAGTAAATAGTAGGCTAGTTTTCTGCACACACTCACACTCCTCTCTGTCTCCCCTCTAGGCAAGCAAGAAGCATGATCAATGTTCAAGGACACATTCAGCCAATCAAAAGGACTCATGAAGGATGTGAAACAGAGCCAGTGAGGAGAAGTGCCAAGGCTCAGACGGCTGCATTCAGCCCCTGGGGTTCCCAACCGAGGGTTCCCTTGCTTTAACTTTGTTCCCAACATGAAATTAATGAACTAAGCCAGTGGTTCCCAATGGTTGGTCTGCAGACCCCAGGGGTAACAAAACTACCATAGAGATAATGATTTTTTCAAAAGTTGTGGGTCCATGGCTTGGCGGTTTTAAAACAGGGGCTCCATCATACTTAGCTAATTGGGAAGCACTGAGCTAAGCAATAAAAATGGCAGAAACAGTTTTTTTGCTTAGTATTCCAGAAGCATAAGGGTCAGTTTGGACAAACCATTAATAATTTCATGATTATTAATGACTGAGGACCAACTATTTTGAGGTTTAAAAAGCTTCATCATAAGCAAGAGCGCAGAAGCAAAGTACACTCAGTCCATAGACAGAACCCAAGCACAATTTGCTGGGGCCTGGAGCTAGAGTCTGTTGCCATGAGGAAAAATAGTGAGCTTGGGCTTGAGCATGTTTCTGCAACCTTATTTTCCTGTATCTAAGTATTTATATGGAGGATCTAGATCTTGTACAGTTTTCTGGAGCCACTTAAAAGGACTGTAGAAGCAACTTCCTGAATAATCAACTGCTGGTTGAAACCCTCTCATCTGAGGGTGCAAGAGAAAGCATGAACGGGAAACTCTAGGCCTTATAGTTTGCAAGAAAAGACATGGTTGCCTTTTTCCTATGTCCCCCTTCATGCATTACTTGCCTGAAGGCACATCACACAATTAGTGGGTCACAGCACCATGCTCCTGGCCCCACCCCAGCATTGAGCTCTGCTCCTAGGTGTCCATGTGTACTCTGCAGTTTGAAGAGGAGCTCCTTCTGCATAGGTTTCCATGCCACTGGGACCCCATGGTTTAAAGGTGCCATGTTCCAGTAAGTCATAGTTAAGATGAACCACAGTGCATTTGGTTTGGGGCAATGCTAAACTGTGGTTAGTTAACAATGGAAATGAAAGCTTCTGTTCTCCTTCTAGAAGCACACAGTAAGAGCTATCCAATATGTCATTATTTATAATTTCTGCCCCATAAAATGAATACAATCAAATATTAAAATCTACAGTGGATGCTTGGATTGCAGACGTGATCCATGTGGGAGGCACGTTTGCAACCTGCAGAGTTTGCAACCCGCAGCGCTGTGTCTGCGCAAGCACGTGTCGTGATTCGGTGTATCTGCACATGCGTGAGCGCCGAAACCCGGAACTAACCCGTTCCGGTACTTCCGGGTTTGGTGCGGTGCACAACCCAAAAACACGCAACCTGAAGTGTCTGTAACCCGAGTTATGACTGCATTTCTAAATGGAAGAGTAGGTATTTGTGCATGTGAAGTGCACAATATTCTACCTCTGTGGTTGTAAAATTCCAGTCCCACCCAGCAATGTACTCTCTCCACAAGAGACAGGATTGTTTCAGATTCCCTTCTTTCCGCAATGCCTTTCAGCCAGGCTTATGAGGTTAAAGAAAAGCCATGATCTATCACTCTTCCCAATGCTTCACACTTGTGCCAAGCAGTCCTCTTCCCCTTCCCTGGGCCATACTTTGGGAATCCTTGTCTGAGCACGTGACAATTGAAGGGCCATGTCTGGTGCTAAAAATCCAGAGCTGAACATGAGGCAGGATCCAAGTACAACAAACGATCCCACTTGTCTGCTCACCAATCAGTTGAGAGGAAATGACTGGAGTTGTCCTGCCCCACTGACACTGTGGATGAAGCTACATGGAGATGTTTTTCTTGGCACCAGCTCTTGGATTTAAGAGACTTGCACGTGCCACCTGCTCCCTCTTAAGTCTTCCGCCAGCGAGCAGAGCACACACTTCCTCTTCTTCTGAAGCAAAGTCTGAATCAGTGGGTCTTCTGGGACAGCTTGGTTTGACGTTTCTTCTTTTTTACAAAGAGAAAGAGATTCACGCCAATCTAAATTTTTTTTCCGTCCGATGGGGTTGCTGGGAAGCACATGGTGTAGCAGGAGTTCTTGCTTTTGTCTGAATGTAAACTCAGTGTCTTTGTCATTGTATGCATAGGAGGCTGTCTCCGCTTTCAGGACCGAAGGCTAAAAGAGCTAACTTAAAGGCAAGAGTCAGTATAGGATATCCCAGAAACCAAAAGCAGCTTAACCCATTATTATTTTTTAAAGTTACCTGTATATCCCATCTTTCTTCCACAGAACCCACACATTCTTTGGGGAGACCACATCTAAACCTGATTAGCTTTAGGAACATCACTGAATCAAGTTCCTTCAGATCATGCCCTGAGATCAAACTGTAATGAATCCTGCAGTGATTTGGATTATATGAAGAAGATGGTTCTACATCTTCTGTGTCGAAGAATAAATCCCACCCATTTAGCACCTGAGAAAAACAACCTGGGATTTCCCATTGTGAACAACTCATACCGCTTCATGTCTCTTCAAGTTTCTCAGGCTGTTTATTCTTTCCCAGTAGTTGCATTATCATATATTCCTTGAAATCACAAGGCAACTTATGGTATTCATTTTTGGCAGGATAATACTGTAATAATGAAAATCATAAACAAAGGTCACAAATGACATTTTTCCGTGTTGGGGTTTGGCATATTACCCAGCGCATATTCTTCTCATCACTCCCCCAGTGGGCAGAGTGTCTGGGACTCTGTTTTTCTCTCCCTCCCCTCAAATTGCTCCTCTCCTACCATCCATTATGCCCTGGACCTCCCCACAAGATGAAGAACTCAAACTCCAGGCTCTAGTTCTGCCAAAGGCTTTAATGCTCAGATCAGATCGGCACATAAGGCAAACTATGGGTTACAAGGTTCAGAGGAAAGATACACGGCTAAGCACAAGCTAAGACATTGATCGAACAAGTAACACCCTCTCCATCTTCTTTTTGAAAAGTGGGGCAGCACAACTATTGGGGCAACAAGTGGTTGGGGGCCTGGGCAAACAGGTCCTCCTTCGAGTGGGTTGTCTCTGTGAGGTTTGTTCTTGCTGGTATCTCCATGGAGACAGAGATGGAGATAAAGCCAGGTCAGCATCAGGGGATGAGTCTTTGCTGACAGGAGGAAGCGATGGAGGTAGCTCCTCAGCAGGAGGGACTGAGCTAGGGGCGTCCAGTGTCAGAGCTGAGACATTATTTCAACAGCTCACTTGTCTCTCCACACACACCCCTCCAGCTCTCCAAGCCCTTCCTCAGCATCAGACAATTCTTGGGGTCCCACGAGGGCCTCTACCAAGATCCTTCTGCTCCAACTCTCTGAGTGCTTCTCACTCCTTCACAGGGTCTGGTCACTTCCTCCATGACACCTCTGCAGGACACACTACTCCCCTCCCCCCAATTTTGGGCATGCAAAATTGTACCTGCACACGCCTAACTTAAAAAAAGAAAATCCCAGGATCTTCACAAGAACAAACGTTGTCATCTTTCAAAACAGGCAAAACGGATGCCAAGTTCAAGGCCCTCTTGTTTTTAACATAAGATTTGTTACATATATTTTATGTAAACCACTAAGAGGTTTTGATGGTGAAGTGGTATGCAAACTCAATTAAATAGATAATAGAGGATTCAGGTAGATTATTTGCATTGTGCTGTTAGTTTTGTGTGACTGGAATTGTGGTGAGTATCTTTGAAAAGCTGTTGCAGCTCTGCTTAGAAGTCAGTATGAAAGGTTAAGCAGACACTGAAAGGGGGGGGCTTTGTTTTTAAATACATTCTCTCTTTCTCACCCACAGACACACACTCTTAACAAATCTTGCTTTGCCAAATATCCCACCCATAAGACAAACAGCAGCCTGGCACTTTCAAATCAGATTGGGCATGTTCTTTAACAAATGATTCACTCATTTAACATCCAGGGGAACTCTTTGCAGGTGAGGCAAAGAAACAATTACCAGTTTAGGCACATAAAGTCACTAGTTCACTTCTGGGAAATGAGGATATATTCCAGAATGTGGACAGGTTGATTCTCAGAGCAGAACAACACAATATGCGGAGTCTTTAATCTTTCTTCTTAACAGTGGCAAAAGTTTTTCCATTGCAGTTTGGCTTTACCAATTTCTGACTGGGTTTTGTGTATGTGCTACAATTCAAATGGGAGAAAAACATCAAATACTTCCCCAGTAAACTGGCCACATTGTAGTGCGATGTTATGGTTACTGTGTTGAGTTAGGACCAGGCACACCTAGGTTCAAAATCCCTACACAGCCATGAAGCTCACTTACCATCCTGTTTGAGGTTCTGCAGAGGGCTGGCTGCACAAGATAGAAGTCAGTAGATTTGGTCCTGGAACTGAGTTTCGAACCTCTTACATCTGTAGTCAATAAAGTCATGACCTGATTTAACCCAAATACTAGTTGTCATGTCTCATTATTCATTGAATCTGGGAAGTCCATATGGCAGGGGTACACCTGGGCAAGCAAGTTGGTAGATTTGTTCCTGGAGCTGAGTTTGGATCAATGAAATTTAGCAAACGTGACTTCTGCTTCCCAGAGGTCACCCCTCGAGTGGCTACCACAAAAATGGTGGCGTTAGTAAGAATGCGAGACATTTAGGTTTTAGATTTGTCTTGTCAAACCTCCAGGGAACAACACTCCATCTCCCTGGGAAAATGACATTAATGATGATAGAGTGTTGTTAAACATGCAGGGAAAGAAGATTAACAGAGTTCTTTTCTCTTTTTTGCAACAACTAGTGTTTACAGTACAAAATAGCCCATTGTCACAGAGTTCCTCCTCAGAATAGATCCCTCCAGAGTCAGGATGGATGAATCTGTCTCTAAGTTCCTCATTTTTCCAATCTTAAATTTGGTTCTCCAGAAGCGGCTTAGTCATGCTGGCCACATGACCCGGAAGCTGTCTGCGGACAAACGCCAGCTCCCTTGGCCTATAGAGCAAGGTGAGCGTGCAACCCCAGAGTCGTCAACGACTGGACCTAATTTATGGAGGCTGGCAACACTAATTGACATAAAGGTAAAGGTAAAGGGACCCGTGATCATTAGGTCCAGTTGTGGACGACTCTGGGGTTGCGGCGCTCATCTCGCTTTATTGGCCAAGGGAGCCGGTGTACAGCTTCTGGGTCATGTGTCCAGCACGACTAAGCCGCTTCTGGCAAACCAGAGCAGCACACGGAAATGCCGTTTACCTTCCCGCCGGAGTGGTACCTATTTATCTAGTTGCATTTTGACGTGCTTTTGAAATGCTAGGTTGGCAGGAGCAGGGACCGAGCAACGGGAGCTCACCCCGTTACGGGGATTTGAATCTCCAACCTTCTGATCAGCAAGTCCTAGGCTCTGTGGTTTAACCCACAGCGCAGTTTAGAACAAAGAACATTTTTTAAGAAAAAAGATTTTTCTTCCCACCACCATTTGCTGGGGAAAACAAATACGCGAAGAAGACAACACCTGGGCAGAAAAACCCAGAAGGCCTTGCTGTGCTCCTGTTGCATGCTCTCTCTTCCCTGTCAGGGGCTAGGGCAGCTTAGCCACAGGAGATAGAAGGTGAGATAACACCTTTGTCTTGCTCCCCCTTGCGCAGCATGCAAATGTGCCAGATCCCAAGGCCTCTGTCCATATAGAGCCAACCCCCTTTTGCAAAATACTCCCCTGGCATCCCTCCTTGTTGGCAGGCTGTCTCCTGCAGCTGCCATGAAAAACCCAGGCCCGGTGGATAAAAGAATGGGGAATAATCATTTAAACGACAACAACAGCAAGCCTGTCATATGTGGGCTGTTTTGAAAGGGTGGCATTGCTGCTCTCCCAGGCAACAGCAGGACTGCAAGGCAACTCAAGCAAAGCAGGTGACCTGGTCTGGGCAGAAGCTCTGCCAGTGTGTGCCGAGATCATGATGCTGTTTACAATAAAGCAGGGATGAGGGGGGGGGAGGGGGGACTATAAAAGGAAAGTGGGGGGAGGAAAGGAGCAGCTGAAATCTCCATGGAGACATTTAACCTGCTGCAATGGATGCCTTTGGGGGATTGGCACTGACCAGGCCCTTAGGAAGGAG